CGCGAATTTCATGCCAATAAGCTGCCTCGACTTGTTCGATTATGTTATCAACTCAATTTCATATTTATTTTCACATTTTCACTTCGCGTTCCTTCTCTGTTCTTTTTCTGTTATTTACACGTGTAGGTCATTTCATTGTTATCCACATTTGATATCATCATTATCACATACTTCCATGACACTCTTGCTGTCCGCTACAACTGCCAAGAATTAACGCAATTGGCGAAGCATAGTGACAGGGGGCGAATAGAGAGCAGGATCCTTGCCATAATGCGGTTTGCGCACCAATTTTCGTACGTGCGTTAATCAAGCCGAATAGTTTGGCCGAATATTCGGCCACGCTCCTGGCCAAATATTCGGTATTCGGCCTGAGGCCGAATATACTATTCGTTGCAACACTAGTTGATATAGATGTATAAAAACAGTTAAAAATAGCTAATATTCTTAAGAGGTCAAAAGAAAGAGATCAGAGTAAATATTTGGAACAAGCTTAAACAAATTTAGGAATGATAAAGAGAAACCATCAGTTGATACATTTATAAACACAGAGATATAGGAAGTAATAAGATAGGTAAGCAGATAACAATAAGTAGATTAGATTGATAAAAAGAATTATTTTCAGTGCCTTTCCTAAAGAGATCTAACAACTTTCATGACTTTCATGACATAGAAAAACACATGCTTATGTTAACAATATTGTTTCATGTGCTGATTTATATAAAATTGAATAAATTACGATATACTTTATTTATAATGATATATTTAAATTAGTTTATAGAGATGATTAAAAAAAATTATTGTTCTTAGATTTTAAAAAAATCTGAAGTATATATTGTTATAAAAAAATCTTTCATTACCTTTCTGCTTGAACTGGAGTCTATAAAAAACAAAACATCAAGAGCTTTTGGTGTTTTTTCACTCATCTTCAGTCCTCATCATCCAAAAACAATCTTTTTATTTAGAACCATCTGCCACTGTTTAAATCATCTTATTCTAGAACAACATTCATTCAATTCAAAATATCTTCTATACTCTTCTGTTCACTCCTCCACTTTCTATTCTTTTTTACCATCCATTTCCAGGCAGTTGAAAAAATATCCACATCCTTTATATTAATAACTTCTTTAGTTAAATTTTCTTTGTAAATATTTAATTTTTCAACCACCCATATGTTATCATCATTAATTAACTGGTAATGTCACTTTTGCCCTATCAAACTTCATTTTCACCACCTATTGTAGGCTTCACTGCTGAGTGCTGTGTTCTTAATTCCTTCTATACATTTTCCAATGTCCAGTTCAAGCAAAAAAATAATGAAACATTATTGATTTTATGGAGTTAGATTATATGTGTGGTTGTCTAAAGTGGCTCAAAAACTGTACCTGTAATTAAGGATGACCCTGTACAAAGTAACTAATTGTTTTCCTGTGTAATTTCTTATTTTAACATCAATTATAATTATTGTAATTTATGTTTTGTTTTATTCATTTGATTCTAAGAAATTTCTAAGTTGACATTTCTAAGTATATGTTGATGCCATTTACTTGATTGATTCATACATTGCTTAACACGTCTATAAATAATCATAAAAATAAGACTGACTGCATAAACATTCAGTTTCACTTCCATAAATATGAAAATAATTTTAAAAAGTTGCATATGATTTTTAGATCTTTTCTTGACTTTTAGATCTTTTCTTGTCTTTTACATCTTTATCATCATTGTTTGAGTCATTCACAGGCCAAATCGATTAACTCCATTTGTAAATCCTTAATATAATTGTTATTATTTTAACATTTTTCGCAAACTAATTTTATATATCATTATATTAGCTTTAATGTAACGATACATAAAGATACACTCTTCAATGTTTATTTAAAGTTTAAAAGGAATTTTAAAAACTAATTTATATTATCTAGTTTTATACTTTTTGTTTTATGGAGTTAATCGATTTGGCAAGTGAGTGGCTCATTTATCAGTAACTTTTATTACTAACAATAATTATTATTTATAATTCTGACAAAGCATTTATTTGTAATTGATAATTTATTAATTAAATTAATAGAATAATGAATATCTGATAAAACAGGCTGTTTTTATCCCTCTTTCCACTCTCAGCACTAAGAGGGCCTTTATTAGCAAGCCTAGTATGGGTTCAACCTGGCCCAAAATGGGATGGCTGGGTGGCAAGAGAAGAGAGAGACATCAAAAAACAGGCTTCAATGAAATAATGCGTAAAAATCTGATAAAATATAATTTTTCTATATCTCACAGTTTAGTAATCTTATCTGTAATGAAATAAAATGACACACAAGTGTATTGTTATCAATGGAAAGAAATATGATTGCCATCTTAAATATTGAAAATTATAATAATAATTATTATTTTAAAGTTTTATAATATAAAAATACTTATAAATTTTTAATACATACCAACTGAGACTATTTTATTTGATCTTTTAACATCAATTATCCACTTTTTGTCAATATCATGTTTTCCTTCAATAGCAAAACTGTTGGATAATTTAGGTTTTAACTGTAACCAGACTGGTGATATCATGGTAAATTTTGATCCAAATATTTTTGCTATGTCATATCCATGATTGTTCCACTAAATATTAAAATAAACATTTCTATATTATTTTAATATAAATTAAAATTTAGAAAATTGTAAAGGATGAATGAATTCTAAGAACAAACTAAATTCACAATTTACACGATCTCTATATTTGCTAATACAATCATTTTCAGTATTTAGTTGTAATTTCAATTTTATTTTTCATAGTTTTTAAGTATGATGGTAGTGAAGAACTTTTGTCTATCATAGGTCTCAATTGTTAGTTTGTGGACCTTAACGAATGCAAAAGCTGTTTTAAGCCTTCTTGTATTTGCCAAGGTCTACAAATTGGGTACTAAGTATGCAAGAGAATAATGATTGAAATGTCCAACTTAGAAAAATAGATCAGAGCATTTATTTTAATAAATTAAAAAAAGTTAAATACAACTATAATTAATGGTATTCATTTCATAAACTCTCTAATTTTTTCTATTGAATCTATAATACTAAATTTTATTTTGTATTTTGGTTAAAAATATTCAACAATGTTATGTAAAACAAAAGTAAGGTAATTTTAAAAAATTATTTTTTAAGTCTTATTAAGCTTAGTAATAATTACAATTTTTTTATAATGAAATTTGGTGTTTTGGAAAAGATTTACAAGTTTTAAATTAAGTCATCTTTATTTAAAGTCAATGAATTGTAACTTGTGAAGTTATTTTAGTGTTGTATAAATTTAATGCATTTTTTCCATTCTATATTATTCTCTCAATATACATTATAATCTTTTTGTTTCTTAGGTTTTATATTACTATCTTGTTTATAAAATTTCTTAAACTTAAAACATATTATAAACAGAAGTACAGGTATACCTCGCCTTACGTCGGTAATTGGTTCCAGGAAAATGACGTAAGTCGAATTTACTTGTCTCCGAATCTACTTATCACTAGGCTAAACCGTAAATTACCATTCCCGGTTCTGTATTTTATTTATTAATGCATTTTTAATAATATATGGTTAATAAAAATCTATTTTCAGCTTACAAACAAATAAATTTTAGTTTTTAATATAGTACAAAAAAATAATCTAAATTTACGAATGCATGTACTGTAAATACAGTACATACTTGTAAATGTGTATATTTTAATATGATTTTAAAAGTGATTTTCTAGTGATATTACGACTTCAATATTTGTGGCGGACAGACGTAAAGTCGAATAAAATGACTTAAACTTAAACTTGAATAAAATGACTTAAAGTCGAATAAAATGACTTAAACTTGATTTTTATTTTTCCATATACTTTTTTAACAAGCGATGTATAATCGGGAACGATGTAACTCAAAACGACGTAAGTCCAGGTATGCCTGTATTGTTTTATGGAAAAAATTTCAAAATTTAGAATGACAGATGTATATCTCAAGTAGTTTGACTATTTTATCTGTAATCAGTTGTCGAATTCTTACTAAATATAAATTATCAAACAGTTCCGACAACAAAATGATATTATCATCAATCTGTTAATCAGATAATCCAATATCTGAAATATTTTTATATCAGAATAATAAATACAAAAACAAATATTGGATAGAATTTGTCTTTCATTCATATTGCAGTAAATATAATCTATAATTTTTATATTGAAAATTATTTAATAGATTATACAGGATACTGTATTAGTTATTTGTCCAAATCAAAACAAAATCATGTTAAATCCACATTTATACTGATAACATGACATATGCACAAAAATCTAATTATGTGTATACTGCACAATATGGCCCTAAAGTCAGTATATATTTTTAAATACTACTAGAATCAATTTGAAACAGCTGTTTGCTGTTATTCATGATTGTAATGAATCAAACAGCAACAATGCAACTTTTTCAAACTAATTTTAATCATTCTTTATATCTTAGTTAACTGACTTTTGGGTCATCCTATATTTATCTTAAGGAATTATTTCCTTTCAATTAATACAAGTATATGTCATTTTCATGAAAATGATTATATATAAAGAATTTCAAATGAAATTACGTTAATGATTGTCTCAAATATTTTGGGAAAATTTACTTACAGGTGTAACATAACCCAAAACAATGTTGTTAAAGTTACGAATTCCTGTTTGTGCAAGACTGAAAGATTCATGTTCTTGTATAATATCCTTATATTTGGGATTTTCTGAGATCAAATCATTAAAATTTGAAATTTTAGATGAAGTCTGGAAATATAAGAAACACATACCTTAAAATCTATCTATACATGTTAAAATATATTAGTAACTTAAAATTTCTACATTAAAATTTGAATTAATAAAAACAAATTCAGTGTTAACTAAATTTTAATGAATTTATAAATGCTGACATTTAAGTATTTAATGTAATACAAAACAATGAATTACAAATTTATTTTTACAAACTAAAAAATCTATATTATAACAAATTATTAATTTGGAATTAAATTTTTTAATGTTTCTAAACATCACATTCATTATCTATATTTTCATTTTTTGCATTTCTTTGATGCAATTTGACAAAAACTTTATTCAATCTATTTAAAAAAGTATCTACGTCTTGTTTTGTAATTCCGATGGCAGCAGCAACTGTAAGATAGGAATACGGATATTTATCGGAATGAGATCCCCAGCCAATAAACTTATAATTATTAATTTCTTTAGTGTCGTAAGTAGTCACAACACGAGCACCAGACACGCATCTAGTGAAAAGCATAGACCCTATTTCGGATAAACTGGAGCGATCCTCTTTTACATCATTCAGAGATATGGCCATAGAAATAGGATTATGCGGTGTTTCGAGAAGTCTTTCTCCATATTTAGTAGCAATTACAGATATTTCATCTTTTAAATAAAGGAACATTTCTTTTCTTTCTTTAAGTAAATTCTTATATCCTTTCATTCCAAGATGAAGAAATGTAATAAACACATCTAAAGAAGGTGTGCCAGAACCTCTTCCGGGATACATTTTACTAATTTCTCCAATAAATTTTTTGTCAAAACCGGCAATAACGGATCCACCGACAGGCACCATAAAATTCTTATCGGTACTCTGTATGTAAGCGTCGACTCTACCGACGGTAAAAGCCTGCTGAATTAAATGCATACATTTCGACGACTGAACTCCATACGCATTGTTCACGATGTGAGGTACGTCGTATTTGGCGCACAATCTTCCCACATCCACAAGGTTATCGGGAGTGCGAGGAGCAAAGCAACTGGTGGTACTCAGCACACACGCCACACTTTCCGAACCGAGCACTCTCAAACGTTCCTCGATCTTCTCGACGTCGGTCTGCAATTCGTCGTTATTTAGTTTGTTTTCTATAATTATCGGTTCAAACCCAGCAGTCAAAATACACTTGAAACACGATTTCTGATCGATTCTTGGCCATATTACATATCTAGCTTTCGGTCTCTTCGAACGAAGAGCAAGAAGGCACAAGGTAATACTCATACCGGTGGCCAAGGGAACAATAAAGCACGAGGAGGTCGACGGCGCCCCGTACGTCTTCAGGACGTCCAACATAAAGGAATTGGCCAACTTATTCACCAGACTGGATCCGGCAGCCTTGGGCTGTATTTCGGTGATGTCTCCAGACCTACCGATGCCATGTCCCATCCTGAAGTGACGCCTGGCCACTATCTCGGAGGCGACGCGGGCCTCCCTCTCTCCCACGCCGCAATTACCGGGAAAGTTATTACTATCCATCAATGCCAAGTTGTGCAACAGCAGTTCGACGGTGGCTTCGTCCCAACCTTCTTCCGGACACTTTTTGTGTTCTAACAATATACGAATGGTATTTTCTCTTGCAGTTAGCGACTGCGCCGCTTGTTCAACGTAAGTAGAAGGGAGGAAATTTTTTGCAATATTCAAACTGCTGCTGTTCATCGTCCAAGTTTTCAATTTCACACTTTACTTAATAAGTTTGAACGAACGGCTACAAAAGAAATTATATATAAATATACCAAATCAACACAATACAAAATAAATGTAACAACACATTCATGCAGCTATATTAAAATTTATGCGGGGGGGAATCTATTTGACCAATCAGAGATTCTCATACAACACACCTTTGCTCTTTCGTCTCGACTGCTTTTAGAGATGGTGCTAAATATGCATTCGATGCTAAGTAATAAAATAAAAATTTGTATATAATTCATTTCGCGAAGAGGAATAAATATTATAACGAAACAGTTCACAGGTCATCAGATTTCCATTGTATCATACTCCGCTCGACCTATCAAATCTTTTTTTTAAGACGTGTAGCGCGATAAGTGTTGCCAGCTACTCTCTTACAAATTTTCGAACAACAAAAATAAAATGACAATTTTAGATTGCCGAGTGAAATTTTAATCTCGCTCTAATTTTTTTATTTTTCCAAAATTTTTCTAGATTTCTCTAGACGTTGTAGTGTAGTTTAATATTAGTTACAGAATTGCAGAGAGATTTATATAGAGGGCGCTAGAAAATAAATATTTTATTATACAGTACTGTATTTGTTATAGAAAGACGGTTTGTGACGTTCGGCAACGTTATCCAAAGGCCGGCTTAATGTCTACAGAGAGGAAAAGACAAAAATAATAAAAAAAAGCATAAAACTCATTTTGACTGAATGCAACGTGCTCAATAATGAATGCCTGTAGCACTAGTTCTAGACTTTTTTCTATATACTGATCCTCTTTTGCTATCAATAAATAGTTTTTGAGGACTCCCGTATTAACCGAAAGCTATTTTTTTTTTTTTTTTTTTTTTGCGGCCGGATGGCCGAGCGATCAAGATGGCAGCCTACCGCTCTGGGGGATCCGGATTCGAATCCGAACGGGTCGAATAATCCCCAGGAACTTTTTGGGGGGTTTCGGATATGTCGGGCCCCGTCCCTCACCACCCGGCAGCCCCATTAATGGGCTGACTGAACCTATAATGGGCTTGCAAAAAGAAGCCCTCTTAGTGCCCGCAGGGCGGAAAGAGTAAAAAAAAAAAAAAAAAAAAAACCGAAAGCTATTTAAGACATGGAGTACCGAAACGGATAATATATTTTCCTCACGTGTAATTTAACATTTGAGCATATATTTACACTCGTTTTTGATTAATTAAATAGCCACATGGAAAATGTGTACATATATGTATATAGATGGTCACTCTGAAAACAAACTACTAGTGTTCATTTGTAGTGAGGACTCTGGAATCTTATCACAGATCCTATGATTTAGTGAACGACAGCTGGGAAACTTTCAACATTATTTCGGGGAAATTAGGAAAATTATCATGTATTGGATCGGAGGCCAAACTTTGTTTCTATTCTTAGGTTCACCAAGGCTATAAATACAGTATTATGAAAGTTGTTTAATCGTTCTATAAATTATTAATTTTATTATTTATGTAATATACAATATAGTCGAGTCCACTTAAGCCTATGTAGATTCCCTGGATCCGGCCTTGTATGGGAAGGTGGGGCAGGATGAGGACGTTAAGGTTTGAAAAGTCATAAGATGGCAACCACTTTAATGAGAACAATAATTATTTTATTCTCAGCAACTACAACATTTGGTAATATATAACACAAAATTTAATTTTTGAAAAACGTTTTTAAAAACAAGAAAATTTAATATTTTAAAATAATACGTAAATGCACCATCTTGCCGCACCCGTGGGATAAGATGGGAATATTTATATACAAGAAGGAGAAATTAAAATGGTTAAACTGTCGTTTTCTTCAATATTGGCACAAGAACATTGCGCCCATTTATCACAACGGCTACATTAATTATTATTTTCCAAATAAATAAATATAAAAGTTTGAACTTACTCGTATTTACTTTACCAGACGATACTGTCACTTCGCGCACGCTCAGTTTCGCTATTTTGTAAGCAGACGATATTTTTTTCGTGGAAAAAAAAATTTTATTTCGATTGTTATCTCACATTTTATTTCTTGTTAAGATAGTATTTAAATTAAAAAAATGTTTTCACAAATAAAATAAAACGTAAAAACATAAATAATAAAGTAATACAGTATATACTGTATAAATTTATTACAGTTAGATATGATTTAAAAGTGGAATATTTCATTTTCTATAAAAAGATCATTTTTAAATTATTATTTTATATATTCGAAAAAATGATATAGAATTATCAATAACAACGAATTTAAAACTAGTTCGCTGCATTATATTGCGGTGCCTCTAGCAAACGGCAGAATTCGTGGCCGACCTTGGGCAAGATGGGGTACCCCATCTTGCCCCAACGTGCACTTTTCATACCGACTGCAAACACGGATCAACTTTATTTCAAAACTAAACAATTTCGGTCTTAAATGTTACTTCGAATACCATAATATCTTCATCTAAAAGGTAATGTAAAAGTTCGCAACGATGCTTACTTTGTAGAAACTTTGTAGCGGGCATAAAATTAGATGAAGTATTGCCGAAACGTGGAACACTGTCTTACTTATAAACAAAGAGAAAGATTCGGACGTTCTCTCCTCCCGTGATCCCTTTTGAGATTGACATTTAGTTCCCCAAATAACAGCTAGATGAAAGCGCGTTAATAATCACGAAAAAACAGACGTTCCCATCTTGCACCACCTTCCCCTATATTATCAATTTTATTGTTCTATCGAATAATCGGTAAATATCGTATATTTACTGGTCACATTACCTTCATTTCTTTCCAGAAATACAATATGTGGCTTATTGAAAAGATATAAACCTGCTTACTTTAAAATTTCTGAATGCTCTCTGATGGGATGTAGGGTATAAAAACTAATAAGTAGGCTACAGTACCTTCTTAAAGGAAAGTCGTTCAACAATTTTATTTTTGTTAATAAAAACAACATTAATTTATAAGAATAGGAACTACTAAAGGCCACTAAATTTTCTCCAGGTCGAGGAAAAATCCTCAGTTCTTTTAAGCGAACTGTTCCCTACCGATGCTCTGTTAATTAAGTGGACTCGACTGTATATTCATTATTATCGTATTTCATGCTTTTAGATATTTTAGGTTTTGTTTGATTTTATTACTGTATTTGTTGTATTCTATATCAGGGGTGGCCAACTTTTATGTACAGAAGATCTACTTTTTATCTTAAAAATGTGTCGCGATCGACTTGTTGTCGTAGGGTTAGTCTAAGTGACGAGGGGGTGGTGTGAAATGCATACTATGTTTAGATAGGTAAGAAAAGCCCCAATTTAATTTAAAACATGAAGAAAAGGTACATTGTAAACAGAATAAAAATTGAAATTCAACTTTCGGGGACCACCACTTCACCCCTCCTCTTTCTACCGTGTCCCGACTACTCCCTCTGTCCCTCTTCCCACCTTTTTTTTTGATTTTACGATCCTTTGTCTACATTTCTTATTTCCCTTTTACAACTGTACGCAAATGAATATCACATGGACCGACAAAACCGCATCTGAGGGAAGACGTGATGGTTTGCGTTTGCGCGTTACGTTCGGTTACAAGTGTAACACATTAATTCAAGACACCGCGAGCGATCGACCAAAATTGGCTTCGTGATCGACCTGTCGATCGCGATCGACTTGTTGGCATCGTCCTCCGATCCATCCAGTAAATTTAAAATGCAGTATTTCCCGAATGACTTTGCTATCAGCTTTTGAAAAATTCTTTTCCATGCACCTGAACCCACATAGCAAAACCAAAAAATTATAATGCGCATGACCGGAAAAAGTTTATTTTTAATGATTCAAAATGTGCAAATATTCATTAAATATATCAATCTAACAAACATGAAATAACTATATTTATAATCATTGCTAAGTGACCAGCTATTTTCGGACAATCTCTTTGAAAGCGACTTTCCTCTTGACCTAAATAGCACCCTGCTCGTGAACTATACACGGTTCACAAAAATTATTGCAAAAACGCAAAGAATTCTTCGCTCGCGCGTATTGGATGACGTAGGTTTTTGAAGCAGTAAGAAATAAATAAAAACCTCGTCTTATATGCGAGTAAATACGATAATTCGATCGTTTTCCTTNCGATGCTTAATATAGCAAATGCATTAAGCGTTCTGCACACATGCTGGATCGAAGATAATTCTTTATTAATTTTAATTTGCCGAAAGAGCGTTCAGCACTTGCTATAGTAACTGGCAACGCAAAGAAAAGTTTTAATACATTTAGAAATAACTCATTATAATTATTATTTAGTATGTATTGCATATGTCTTGTGCGTTATTTATATCCCTATCCCTTTCATTCAAAATCAAATCCCGTAGCAAACCAATTTCCTGGATTAGGTTTTCATCTACGTCTTTGTTATAATGGAACATTTTTCTAATTCATGTTTTTCTAAGGTTTTCATATCAGTGATTAATTTGAAATCAGTAATAATATTTGGTATACTTTTAAATCTATCTTCTATTTGTACAATAACAGTATCAATTAGAGTGTTAAAAAAATAACATGTAAAATTCCTCTACCGGGTTTTCTAAAGCTTCACCTGCTATTTCGGAATATAACCTTTTACTTTTTCAGGAAAATGTTCTGAAATATTCAAATTACGTGCTAGCACTTTTACTTCGTCTAAAAATGTGTTAAATTTTGGATTTCAGTTTTAATTTTGTTGACTAAATTAAAAGCCGACTCGAGAATAATTGTTTTTGCTTGAAATAATATTGATAGCGTTGATTTTACACAACATTGCAAACCATACTATTAAACATGAAATAAATGGCATTTCTTGTATTGAATCCAATAGACTTTTAGCTTCGGATACCGCTGTATTATCGTTACTTACATAAATAAATTCTTGTAGGGCATTACAAGTTTGTTCAAACTGTGTATATGTTACTGTGAATGACCGATATCTGGCGAATGTCAACATTCACACAGTCGTTTCGTATATGTACAAAATATTTGCTAAATATAATCATTTCTCACTTACACCGGCAAATGTCGACATTCAGCATGCACTGATGGTGAATGCTCAATAAAAATATTTTTATTACGTTAATATGTCAAAATAGGAGAAAGCTTAAGTAACGGCACATGTAAATAAACTGTTGAACCTAAAACGAACAGTACGTTCTAAATCATTAAAGAATATAATACAATAATAAACTTACACATAAATTATGTGATTGACGTTGTACAATCTTATTTATTGCAATAACTTAA